CGAGCGTTTGCGCATACAAATATCATAATATGTATATGAATATTTTTTTCGTATATTATATAATAAATGAGCTATTTTCAATCGAAGCAAGAAAAGTTGCTTTGAGCCAAGAGCACTTTTTATGTGCATGTATCTCATCTCAAAGAACGCTACAAACGTCTCGTTCCTTTGGAAAAAAATATAATAATAATCAATAATACCTTTTCATCGTCGTCGACGTGAGAAATGGACAAACCAAAAAATCCATCAGTTTGACCGGGTTGATTATTTTCCCAACGTAATCCATATGGTAATGGCCAAATGGGATTTTGACCTTTGTCCAACATCATATTTACATACCATTTATTAGTTTCTATAGGTTTAGATGTTGAACTGGTATCGATGTTAAAAGGTGGCTGAGTGTGTTCTTGTGTAGGAAATATTGGTGGTGGTGGATCAGTTGAAATTGGATCGAAAGGTATTGGGTTTGCTAAAGATTTTAATGTGTCGCGTCGAACATCCATTGGAAATGTCAAAGATGTTGGTAGGTTGATTATTAAAACAAAAATTATAATAACAAAAGAATATTTGATTTGTTGCATATTTGATTAAGGAATAAACGAATTGATTATATAATAAAGAGAACGTGAAAAGACAAAGAAAATATTTGTCTATTTATTTGCAATTACAATTATATGCATGTAAATCAATTGTTCGTATTGATAATAGCGTATGTTCTTAAGCATTTTCATGCAATAAATTTAAATATCGCAATATTAATTGGTAAAGATAAGTTTTATAGATTATTATAATAATTAAAGTTAAATTACCATTGCCTAGTGATGGTTGATTGTTAATCCGGATAATTGTTCATTAGTACAGTCACATATATGCTGTGCACGTTTGATTAACATCAATGCTCCAACTTTTGGAAATAAACATACACAGTAACTTCGTTGCACAGTAGGTTTTATATTACAATTCACTGCGCGGTAGCTTTTTTTACAATTGGCCAATTTTTAATTTTAATTGAAAGAAAATCATTACCAATTTTGTCATGTAGTTCAAAAAAAATATGGCAACACAAAAATTATTATTGTTCTGAACTTTTTTTTAAGCTTTAGAGTTGCACTGTATGCACTCCTTTATTTCTATAATTATTCTAATTATTCTTTATTCGCCATTAACAATTAATATTGACCAATCAACAATAAGTAATAAATTATTTTTTTGTTCTCTTTCCTACTTGCACATTTTCCAACTTCTTTCTTCTCATTTTTTTTTTTTCAAGAGGAAAATAATTTTTTAAATTTTTTAAAATTTTTTATTATTGAGGTAAATTTTTTAATTTATTATTGTTATAATTTACCATTTACAGAACTCAAACTGGGAACAACAGCCACACCAATGTCATCCACCATATAATAACCAGATATTTGACCCTTATAAACCAACTCACCATGTCCAATATCGTAATGGTCGTATGATTGTGCTAGCGTAAGTTCTTGCGCTTTATCCAACGTTTCATCATCAATCATCTCGTCCTGATTCGCCTTTACACACACATTTTCCCAATAACTTTGCGAATCTTTAAAATCATCGTATCTACTGCTCATGGCTATCCAGTGCCGTTTAATTTTTTTTTTCAGGGTTAATTGATTGTCGTCATAGTTATGACATTTTAGAGTGTATGTGACAATTGGAGATTCTGGTAGCAGTGATCGACGAGTGAATAGTTGGTTGAAGTTTGAGGTAATAAAATGTCCATTTTTATAGACCAAATTGGAC